GCTTCCATGGATCAAAAGCGCAAGCTTTCTTTGAGAAGGTCTGAACAGCAAGCTGAAAAGCAAAAATTTAGTAGTGGGCTGAAAAGCAAGCTAGACTCCGGCCATGTCGAATTGACCAAACTGAACTGCTCGAGCCCAGAGCGAGCTGCTGGAATTTTCGGAGAGTGTCGGAGTCGCAACCTTGCATGGTGATCTCTGGAAGTACGCATGCAAACTCTCGAGTTGTGGAATCGAGCTACACATAGCAGTTGCAGGTGGTGGCAGTGTCTTTTGAGCCCCACGTCAGGTCGTCACATGGGGGCATCTGGTTTGCATATACAACATGGCAGTCTGTGTTTGCAGGTTTTTTCTTACACAGACAAGCTTAGGTGCTCAATTGGTATCACCACACAGCTGTAACATTGTTTGATTCTACTACTGCCACATCGGGCATGGCAGCAGACAAATTTGAAATGGGCATAGGCATGGTTGATCCCATCTAACTTTTTCGGTGTAGAACAACTGAACATCTATGATCGGGTCCTACGTTGTTTTGGCGAGTAATACCGTATAACTTATGTTATTACTCGCTGGTGCTCAGCAGGGAATGAGGGAATGACCCTTGTAAACATGCAACTGATGGTTTCCTTTCAGACCAAAGCCTGGGTTCATTCCCACGTCCCTACCTATCGCACCAGCAAGATTACGTCGAATCTTCCATGGATCGCCACCAGAGAGCGCGAAAGCCCTTTCCCCTCCGGTTGAGTTGACCGATTTGATCTTCAGCTCCTGCACTTTGAAGGTATGGGCAAACACGGCCCAAGTGTTTTTGTCAGACTAATGATCATGGCTCAGGCTTTGGACAAAGTTGGCCGCGTGCAACTTGAAGGGTCTAAAGCGTGGAGCTCTGTTACAATCTGTCATGCTGGGCCAGAGCCATGCGATGTGTCGCATGTGCCACGTCCTCAAAACCCGGCTAGATGGTTAGGTTAGTAAGGGACAATCCCAACCATAAATAGCTGCGGATATCCGCCTTCTTAACTCTTTACATGGTTCTGGGTCGATCATTTTAATACCGGGTTTTGATTATGACTCAGATTACTTTGCCCGTTCTTGTCCCGCGCTGATGGTTGCTCCTTAAGCAAGACGCTGAGAGAGGAGCCTTGAGATAGGCTTCGGCCAGCAGGATTTGGTGGTCAAGTTTGGTCGCCTCTTAATGGACCAAACGTATCTTGTGTTTACTCGTGTTACCTTCGAAAGAAGTCTGCTTGATGAGCAAAACATGCAAATCGTCTGTGGCTCTATGTAAATTGCGTGACCTGGGGTGAAAGTAAGGGCCCTGGCCCCTCTAGATTTCAGCACTCCCGAGGATTTGCCTTTTTGCCGGCGATTGGAGAACTCCAACTGGACTTCTTTGATTTCTTCCTGTCTTCTGGTTGGCCAATCTTCTGAGTCGTGTAGATGGAGATGTTGCTTGTTGCTTGGCCTTCCGGCCTTCCTTGCGCGCCTTGAGCGCCGCTCCTTTTGGCGCGATCTGCCGCGCTTTTTTTTTTGCATCCCCCGCATGTCGAATGCCAGGCCCGAAAGCCAGGAGCGGAGACGATCGGTCGTTTGTTTTTCAGTTCCGCTTGCTCAACCGACCTTTCTACTTCTGAGCCCTTGAATGGTTGATTGGCTTTCTGCAACACCAGGGGACCGCATTGAGCTTTATCCCTGAGGAGAATGGAGAGCGTGCTGTGATTCTACATGAACCTTCATCCCTCGATATCGACTAGTCTTCAGTCTATGAGCCTACGCGACACTCTTTCGGTCGTCCAGCAGATATGTCGCAGTTTGTCCTTTTGTTTGACACTTTTTGTGGACGTCGCTTCTTCCTAGCTAGCTACAGCCGTTGGACATCGCCATTCACTTCCTGAGCGAATCTCCGCTGTGATCGGTGTTGCATTGTTTGCAGCGGTAAGCAGAACTTTTCACTGGTTGTCTGCGATGGTTTGGCATGCTTTCTTGCAATTGTCCAATGCCTGGCAGGTTTCCTTTGGCCTCTTCCTCTTGCTTTCCCAGCAAATCCTCCGAAAGATCCGGGGACCCCTCCGAAGAGTCGGATTAGTAAAGTTGCTTGGCGTTTTTCCTTGATAGTAGAAAAGCGACCTGGTCGGAGAGTTGACGATGCACAGGCGTGGCCATGTGAGCCACATTCAAAACCCGGGTAGACGGAGGTTAGTAAGGGAGTCTCCCAGCCAGAAATAGCTGCGGATATCCGCCTTCTTCACTCTTGAAGCATGGTTCTGGGATTACGACCATTTTGATACCGGGTTTTGATTATGGCTCACTTGCAGAGTTCCTGGACTTTAAACTTTTGGGAGGATCGTTTTGGTGGGGATCCGGTGTGAACAACTTCTCCCGAGATTGGCTTCCCTTTTGGACGCGCCTCCTGCAGGAGGATGCAGCTGACTCCGCAAAGGAGGCGATGTGCTTCGCAAGCTTGGTGAAGTGATCGGATCAGCACGTGTTGTTTCCTTCGGCTGATGAATGTTGATCCCATATGGATCAACCCTGTGGGTCAATAGGGGGGTTCCTGGGTTTAGTGGGGAATCATCACTTTTGAAGGGGAGCACCCTCCTAATGCTAAACTGGGGTTGATTAATATGCGGCCAACATGAATCAATAGAAGATCACCCCGAATGGATGCCTGAAAGAGCACAAGTGCACAGCATGATTGCTTGTCTACTTTTGCCCAACGGAGGGTGCCGATCGTGACGCGTGGAACGCAAGAGACCTGGCTGTCAGGGTTTTCTGGATAAATCACACCGTGTTGGATAAAGCAGGGTTCCACTTTTTGACTACCCCAGGGTAGACTTAAACCCATGCGCTCGGTCAAATACGCCGGGATCGCTGATACTCCTAACATACGCAACCGATTGCAACGAAAAGGGGTGCTTCATTACCCCCAAATTGAGAACGAGTCTAAGTTACGGTTTAAGGACCCCTGGGACAAAGCTCTAAGGCTTTAGTTGCGGCTCGTTTTGTTTATGGCGTGTTTAGGTGCTCCTGTGGTAAGCATTGTAGTGTTGCATGTTGGGATGGTTTGCATATATAGAGGCGTTGTGCGAGCCATGCTGTGACTTGCTGTGCAGTTCCGCATTGTTGTGTGATGTTGTGCTGGCTTATGCTACGCAACATTGAGCCCTATGCCGTATGTTTTGTGTTCACTGCTCATTCAGGTGTGTGCTTGTGTGTATGCGTGTGCTGCAAGTTGTCAGTGCTCATGTGGTTTTGTGTTTGCTGGGCATGTTTGTTTCCTGTTTTAGTGTGTATATGAAATGACTACATTTGTCTCTGCACTTACGCATGCATGTTCAGTGCTATATCCTGTTAGCTCATTTTTTTGGTTTCCGGTCTTGTGTGTTGGTTTGTGTATCTGATCATGTTTCACGCTGCAGCGACTGTATTATTCTAGAACTCAGGAGATAGGACATTGCTTGGCCCAAGAAGCATCTTGGATCGAACAAGGCGCCCTTACAGAACGGCTGTTCTTAAATAAAGCCTTCATTTTTCCTTAGGAAACTTCGCAGGTTTGCACACATGGGTCCGTCTTCGAAGGATGGGTGCGACACCCCCCGGCTTTTGTGGTAAGCGGATGCCAAAACGGAAAATGGCGCCATTTTAGTGGGGCCCCGCAAAGAAGACGAATTGGTCCGAGAAGGCGAATTGGTCCGCGGTCCCACGCGCCAGGAGTCTGATTGAGATCCAAACCCTGGCTCGAGCGGGTGTCAAAAAGCCGACGCGAGACGGGCGGATGGGAAGCTTGGAGTGCGCTTGTGTGGTACAGGGACACCAAAGGGAAAACGGTTCGCCATTTGGGGGGGGCCGAATCCGTAGAAAAGACACCCAACTAGACTTTGCAGAAAGAGAGCACAAGAACGACCAATCAGATGTGCCCCGGTGCACCAGGCGAGAGCAAACCTTTGGCTTGGTGAGAAGTGCTGCGACAACTTGTGGTTTGGGCCCCATGCTGCTGAGCCAGACCCATTTGAGCACGCCAGTGGATGGACGAAATCCAACTCGCACCACTGTTCAGAAACCCTGGAATGAGGACTTCCCTGCAAATACCGTCAAACCATGGTTTTCCATGTTTGCAACATGGGGCAAAATTGCGTCCATCCACGGTAGTATCATTGTTCTAAGCTTGTCAATGATGAGTTTGTCTAAGTATCATTCTTCTAAGTAGTATCATTCTTCTCAGTAGTATTTGGGTTTCGGTGGAGTTGCACTTTGCTTACAAGGCTGCAGCAGCAACCCCCAGACGGCCCGGACGGCAAAGCCACGGAGCCGATGTACTAGGTCCCCCAGCTAGGTGCCCTTTCTCACCCATTTTTTGGTTGGGAGGGTTCCCCTACTAAAATGTACTACAGATGAAAAAAACATGGATACCCTTATTCTAACCTCTCTACCGGAGGATCTAGTACATTATTCCATGTTCAGGATGCTTTTGATGCTTTTGATGCTTTTGATGCAGCGCTTGCAGAGGGAGGATGATCAGCCGCTTCGCCGGGATGTGGATTGAGAGATCTTTCGGCCCTGAGACCTGGTTGTGGGTCAAAACCCAATTGGATCTCATTTTGGTTGGTAGGTGAATTCACCACCTATTTTGGTCGGGATTTTAGTGGTTGGATTGAATCGGATGTTCACTGGGGGTATTGGCTTTTGACCCATACCTCAGACCTCAGCGTGCGGTTTTGATCCATTTTGCCAAGGGATGTTGGGACTTTCACTTTTGGCCAACCAATGGGTTTTCCGTATTAAAAAGGGGAAAGTCAAGAACAGGGGAGCA